GAATCCGATGATGGTGTTCCAGGGTGTGCATTTGGCGCACGGAGCGGCATTGGCCGCCTGGGCGAAGAGCTTTTGGAGCTCGGCCGACGCATGGGCCACCTCATGCAGCAGGAGCGACGGTTCTGAGATCCCCCCACTTGAAAGGGTGTTCTTCGTTTTCCAGCTCAAGGTCAAAATGCCGCGCAACCTTTTTTCAATATAATGTGGTTTGCCACATTCAGCGTTTTCCTCCCAGGGGCGGCGTAAGCGTCTAACTTAGACAAGATCTTGGCAAAACCATCGACTAACACGCTCCATGTATGCAACAAAGAATGAGCTCTCAAACGCTTGTTCATGTAAAGTGAACTGTGCGAGATGACTGTGTCAAAACGGCTGCAATAGACAGGTCAGGGAGGGATGGGGTAGTGTGTCAGATGTTAACGCGAGAGAATTCAAGAAGTTTCTGAGGTTCCCCAGTGAAATAGAAACGTTTTTTTCCTGCACATCAAGCCGCGCCGATGGGATGAGCGCCCTGGAGGCCATGACCTGCGGGTTGGGGCCTGTGGGAGGCAAGGGCTCCTAACTTCGCGCTTCACGCCCCGCGAAGCGCGAATGACTTCGCGCTCTCGCGCCGCGCCCCCAAAGGGGGAAAGCGGGGGGCGAGGGGGATGGGGGGGGGAGAATGAAGGGCGCGAAGCGCGAATCACTTCGCGCCCTCGTGGGGGCCCTCGGGGGGCCTGCGGGGGGTCGGGTCGGGTTCACCAGAGCACGGCTGGGGCACCCCGTCGCCCGCCGTGAGACGCCGCTCGCGGCGGCCTAGGCGATGCCAACCTAGCGCAGGTTGGCCTGCTGAGCTGCAAGGGCCGCGTCGCACTTGCGCTCGACGTTCCAGCAGCCGCGGCGACCCCATCCTAGAACATATTGACATGGAGGATGAGCTGCGAAGCCGTGTCGGCCTTGCGCTACAAGTCTGCCAACAGGCTCTTGACCGTTACATTTTTGGTCACCGTCCATGACTTTCTTGACGTCGCTGTGGAGCTCGCGGATCTTCTTGTAGTCATCCTCGATGGTCTCGCGGACCCTCTGCGGCATCCCCTGGAACGCTGCGTCGCCCACGATATCCTGCAGCGTGTGCGTCGCGTGCCTGACCTTGTCCGACATCGCCGTCGCGTCCTTCAGGTTATTCGCGCCCTCCTTCTTCCTCATGGTATCCAGCTTATGTTCCTCCCTCTCGCGCTCCTCCGCCTTGCGGATGTTCCTGGCATCCTTGTCCGTCTTGCCCTTCTTGTGGCCCTCATTGTCCTTCTTGTCAGCGCGGCTGCGCGACGAAGAGCTCGATGAGCTCGACTCCTCGGACTCGGACTCGGGGGCGCCATCCACCTTCCGCCTCTTGCCGCTGTTCTCCTCCACGCCCTCGCGACGCTTCCCCTTTCTTGCCCGCCGTGCCAGCCGAGTATATCGGGACGCGGCACGTCCTCCCGAGGACGCGGTCGTCATGAAGGTCCCACGGGCGCGACCAGCTCTCGATTCGACCCGTGCCGAAGCCTTTGGCTGACCACGACGGCAGAGGCAATAATTCCCCTCCTTCTGCGTACCACTTGCGGTGCGCCTCGAAGCCATTCATGTCCACGTGGAACTGCGCGACGACATCCGTTCGGTTGGTGATGTCCCTGATGCCGCCAAAGGACGCCTTCTTGCTCCAGTCGTCGAGGGCGCTGAACTCGGGCGTTGGCCATCCACCCAGCTCGGTGCTCAGCTGCGCGACCTTGCTGGATCAGCGCGAGCACCTGTGCGCGTTCTTCCCCCATGTTGCGGACCCTGGTCTTGTCCATGGCCTCCAACTCGGCGCCGCAATCCCCGCAGTGCATGCGGCGATCCTCGAGGAAGCTGGGGCGATCCGTCACCATTGGCGCCTGTGTCTGCTTCGGCCGCGCTCGGAAGAGGCCGCGCTTCGGGGCGCGACCAAGGGTCTGCGGGTTCGAGGGGGCTGGTGCTGCCAGTGGGTCTGCAGCAGGTTCTGCCGCAGTATCTGGCGGGGAGCTCGCGGCGACCGATGGCTCAGGCGCAGCCGCCGCCTGCGGGGGCGGACCCGACGGCGCTGGGGCCACCGCGGGAAGGCCATCGAGCGGGGGCTCGGAGATGATCGCGCCGACCTTCCGACCTTCGGGGGCGGCGCCCCGCTGCTCTTCGCCGCCGAGGGCCTCGCCCGACGCGGCCGAGCTTGCCCTGGCGGGGGCTCTGGGGGCGGCGGCGCCGCGGCGGCGGAGGGGGCCGCCGCCGCCTCGATCGGACTGCCGGCCTCGACGCGCACGATGTCGCCAGCCTTGCAATGGTCACAGCGCTGCGCTGGCCCACTCCCCCCCCCCACCCCCGCCCCCCCACCCCCCACCCCTCGCGCTAGACGTCCACAGCAGTCGCGGGCCCCATGGGCCTGCGCAGATTAAGGGGCATGACGAATATGACGCTTGGCATATCCGACGCCCCAATGGGGCGCTAGTGGCGTGATGGGGCCGGGCGGATGGAGGGGGCGTCAGGGGTTTTCCATGCCTGCGCAACGTTGCCCATGCGCCTTCGGGGCATGTTCCGAAACAGCAGCGCCGAACATCGTGTCGATCTGGAGCTGCCGCGCCGCCCGAGCAGCCTCAGCCCTGCGCGGCAACCCATCCGCGGCCCTGAGAGCCATCCCTTCACTGATCATCTTCTCCTCCATGGCCTGAATGTCCTGCGGCGTCCTCCTGCAGGTCGGGCACGCGAGCGCGGTCATTGGCGTTTCCAAGATCCTGCAGGTCTCGCGGATGCAACACTGGTGGGGCATGTGGAGCCACGGCAAGATGGCGCGCAGAACCTGCCCCCGGCCGCTGTCCCCGTCGGAGCCCCCACCCAAGGGGGCTTGGCAGATAGCGCAAATGGCGCAGTCATCCGTCGGACCTGGGACGCTCGGCGGCGCCTCGCCACCTCCAAAGGGCTCCTCCGCGTCGGCCACCTCCATCGGCGCCTCGCCACCTCCATGGGGCCCCTCCGCATCGGCCACCTCCATCGGCGCCTCGCCACCTCCATGCGGCCCCCCCGCCGCAGGACCTGGGGCGCTCGGAGACGCGGCAGCTTCGCCGACGGCGGGTTCTGCGGCCGCCCCGCCAGCCCCCAAGGCGGCCTCGAGCGTCTCCTCGAGCGTCTCCTCGACCACAGGGTCAGTATCGTTCCACGACATCACGCGCTGCAGACGGCAGTTTACACAGGGCGTCGACTGGCGAAATATGCCGCTGAGCGGGATCTGCCGCTGAGCGGAATAAAAATCCGGGAAGGCGGTCCTGACTGAATTCGCTCGGGCCTGAAAGGCGACGGGGCGAACGGAAAATGTACTCGGCCGAAGCGGGGGCGCCGCTGGCCCGACATGGCTTGCAAGCCCCCCCCCCCCCACACGGGGGCCGCCGTTGGCCCTGCGGCCGTGCCGAGGCTATCTTGGAGCCGTAGTGGGGCACCTTGGGCCATTATCAGGGCCGCCTGGCAACGGTTATCAGACCACTGGCGGGCCAGTATCCGACCATTATCAGACAATTATCAGGGCCACCTGATAGCGGTTATCAAACCATGATAAGAAATCTGATACTGTATCATCTAGGCACGCTAAATAATGCAATGTACCGGCTGATAACGTTATCTTACCGCCGGACAATGCATTATCCGACCATTCACATACCATTATCAGACCATTATCAAACCACCTCTCGTAACGCACCATCAGAAATCTGATAATGCATTACCAGGGCACGCCTGGTAACGCAATGTATCGGCTGATAACGTTACCAGACCGCCTGGTAATGCATTATCAGGCCATTTTCAAACCATTATCAGACCATTATCAGGCTACCTGGTAACGGTTATCAGACCATTGCCAGGGCCGCCTGATAACGCATGATAATGCCGACGACGACGACGTCGCCCCACAGTGGGTCCCAGAGGGGCCCAATAAGTCCTCGCGGCGGGGCTCCTTGGGAAGGCAACCCACGAGCTCACTGAGGCCCCAGGCAAGGACCCAAAGAGCCCCGAATGCAAGGCCCGATGGGCCCAATACACGTTCGTCGTCAGGAGGCGGGGAACGTTGCACACCGAACCCTCTCAGAGGCGCAAGCCGTTCACGCCGCGCCATGGAAAATCGCTCCTTTCGATGCGGGGATGCAAGGGCTCCCAAACTTCGCGCTTCGCGCTGTGCGAAGCGCGAATAACTTCGCGCCCCCCCCCCCCCCCCCCAATGGGGGGGAAGGGGGGGGGGGGGGGGCGAGGAGAGGGGGGGGGGGGAGGATGAAGACCGCGAAACGCGAAGCGCGAATAACTTGGCGCCCCCGCGGGAGCCCTTGGGGATGCGAATGGGGCGGGGGCCGATGAGGATGAGGATGGCGAGGTTGCGTGCGCTGCCCAGGCGCGCGCGTACAGACACTGCGACGCAACGCTTCCCCGACCTGCGGCGCTTCTCTACGCGTCGGCTAGCGAAGTTCCATGCGCGACAGAGGCCTGCCGCCGACGAGATCACTCGTCATCAAAAGCTCAGATGCCCTTGAGCTTGTCCCAGCTAGCCGCTGAAGCCGCGCAAGCCTTCCTGCCGAGCTCCTTCATCTCGCCCGTCGACTTGCCAGCGGCCGTCGCCCTCTGCCTCGCCGTGCGGCAGGCCTCCGAAGTGAAGCACTCGCGCGCGGTGGCTTTCATCGTCTCCTTCGTCAGGACTGCCAGGTCGGAGATGTCGATCGGCTGCTTGTCGGCCTTCGTCTTGGGCGGGGTCGCCTTGTCGGCCATCGTCTTGGGCGGGGTCGCCTTGGTCGCCCTGTCGGCCTCCGTCTTGGGCGCGCTCAACTTGGCCGCCGCGTCGCCCCCGCCGCGCTTCCCACGTGCGAGGGTTACCTTCTTGGTCGGGCGGGTGCCCTTCGCAGCGGGAGTAGCGGGTGGGCCTTCGTCCTCGTCATCATCGTCACCCTGGCCACCTGCGTCGTCGGCCGACTCCTCTCCCTCGTCGGCGTGGCGTCTTCTGCGCCCTCCTCCTCTTCCTCGTCGCCCTTATTCGCCTTGGCTGGCTGTGCCGCAGGCTTCTTCATGACCCTCTTCGCCTTGGCTTTCTCCGTGAAATCTTCGCGCTTCGCCTGCGTCGTGTCCATGGCCTGATGCACGGCGCGCTTCGAGTTCTGCGCCACCACTGCCCCAGCGCCGTCAGCGGGTGCGGCGGCTGCTGGAGCTGCGGCAGCGGCAGCTGGAGCTGCGGCTGGTGATGCGGCAGCTGGGTCCGCGGCCGCTGGAGCCGCGGCAGGTGGATATGCGGCCAATGGGTCCGCGGCAGCGGCAGCTGCAACGTCGGTAGCTGGCTTGAGAGCGCGCACTGGATGTGGCCCTGCAATCCTTCGGCCCGACCGAGCGGTATTCCCGAAGACCTCTAAGGTATCCATGAAGTGTGCCACTCCGTCACCTGCTGAGCCCGCCCCAGCTCCGACGCGCCCTCCCGCCACGAGGGGCACGGCGGTCATGGCCACGGTCTGCGCGCGCTGCATCTGCTGGGCCTGCTGGGCAACAATCTGCCTGATGTCGCCCTGCGGCCCTCCGCTGGGGGCGAATGGCACCAACTGGCCGCCTCCCGCATTGCCCGAGCCCTGCGGCCCTCCGCCCATTGGCTGAACCGCTTGCTTCTCGGCCCCCAATTCCTCTGCGCCGATGCCTATTGTCAATGTCCCGGAGCTTGGCCATGTCCAGCGGGCACCGCGTGGACCCCTCGCCCGCGTGCCTCGGCGTAGGCCCGCGGGCGTGAACGCGCCAAGTCACTTGGCAGGTTCGGCAGCGTGGCCAGGTAGGTGTCGGGCGTCGGGGACTTGTCTGCAATGTTCATGTATTTCCTTCTTGACGTAGCCGTGGTTTGCCTTCAACTGAACACCGTTCATCTTGTGCGCGCTAGGATCGCAAATGAGAAGCCACATCGAAGACAACAGCTTGGTCGCGCGCTCGCGCACGTTGGCGCCGCCCAGGCGCACGACGCGCTGGATGATGAGGTGCAAGCAAGCGGTGCTGGGCGGCGCATCCCCGTCATCGGGCATCAATTTAGACCAGCTGTCCTCAGTGGGGGACTCGACGAAGCTCATGTACTTCTGCTGGGCTTGACGGGCCTGTTTCAAAGCCGCGGATGAATCCCTGCCAATTATAGCCATAATTGGCCCGTCGTGGCTCTGGTACCAATCCACATTGACGATCATAAGTGACAGCGCTGCCTGGTCCTCGGGTGAAATGATTGCCCACGCGCGGCGCAGCATGGCGACGACGGCGTTGGACTGAACCCTCGACAACCGACATCGCCCGGTGCCGATCGGTCCAATGGACAGCCCGAAGCGCCGCCCCGATCGCCCCCAGCCTGAGACGCAGCGCGGACGCGTCCGACATGGGCCAGCGCAGCCAGCGAGAACAGCAAGTCGTTGCCTAACTGCTGGGAGTGCGGACACCCAGATATTGTATACATATATACATATTAGAAATAAAAATGATTTTTAAAAAATGAGAAGTACCGCTAGCGGAACATCCCGCTAAGCAGTTCGGTGAATGCGCTGCTCGGGCCAAGGCGGCGGCTGCCGGGGGAAGTGGTCGGGGGGGGGGGGGGGGGGGGGGATTTCTTGGCGACCAGAAGAGGAGGAGTTGCTGTTGCTATATCTCCTGAGGGCGAGAGCGCCATTTTGAAATGGATCCGCCCTCCACCCGTGCAACGGTCGGTGGCAAACTTTACGACGGGGCAATGATGCGCAGGCTCGTCCTTGGAGGCATGAGGGCGACCTGGGTTGAAAGCCTAGCCCTCAAAGGTGGCCCTGGGTGGAGGCCTCACAAAGACTGGCTTGCATATCCCACTCGGAAGCGCAAAAACAATACCACCCGCCCTGGAGAGAACCGATCGTGGCCTTGGAGGGTCTCAGGGGCCTTGCAAAGCGGGATTGCCGCTAAGCGGGGTTGCCGCTAAGCGGTCCTCACTGATGTCTTAAGTTACAGGTTTTCGGTTAGGTCCTCAGCTGATGTCAAAGGTGGGGCCCGAGGCATGGGTCCCATCCCACCTCCCAGATTCAACGAATGTCAGGCCGACGGTGTTTGAAATGTCGTGCGGGGGGGGGGGGGGTAAAGGGGGAAAGAAGGAAAACGTTTCTGGGCGCGGCGCGGGCGAAACGTGCGACTGGCGAGCGCAGACCATAAGTTGCAGCGCTGCTGACGGGCGTAAGTTGCAACGCTGCCGACGAGCAACCGGTGCGATAATATGAAATGTCGCGCGGAACAATCTGAGCTGATAGGCTCGCCCGAAACGCTAGGGCCTAAGGGCGCACTGAGCTGCTGGGCTCGCCCGAAACAGTCGGATCATGCAGCGGCCGCAGCTGGCGGCTCAGCTCGCAGAGCGCGGCGGGCCTGCGGTGCGAGTCGTCGCCCATGCCGTCAGGATCTGCGCCGTCCTGTGCTTCGATGACCCCCGGTGCTGCTGCGTGCTCTCCTGCAGGGCGGCCATGGTTGACGGGCGTCACTGGCGCCGCGGAGCCATCTGGTGCTGAGCCGCTTGGTGCTGGAGGCCTGGCCTCATGAGGGCCATCGCCACACTCAAGCACGTCGGTGATGGTCTTGAGCGGGACGAAGATGATTTCTGGGCTGGAACTGGCGCGGTTGCTTTCCGCTTGCATGGGGCGACCTTCTTGTGAAAGTTCCCAAACCCTGGTGGGAAGAACGCCCCCTTGGCGTTGAGCTCGGTAACGAAGGTGGCTGAGACCGCGCACATCACTGCCATTGCTTGCGTATGAGCGCAGCCTGCCACGGCCGACGCCCTCCTGAACATGTCCATCGGGTTAAGGCAGCGCTGGCTGAGTCAATTCCAGCACTGGGTCTTTGTCGAGCCCTTGACGTCAACTATAGTCTTGGCCGTGGCCCCCCTCGCGCCCTTGGGCGTGGGCATTGCTGTGGGAGCAGGAGAGCCGCCGTGCAAGATGGTGAGAAGCTGGGCCAACTCGAGCCTCGATGGTTTCGGGCGGGTGCTGGTCCGAAGGTTACCGCCATGGCACAGGGGGGCGCCCCCTCCCCCCACCCCCATCCCGCCCGTGCGATGACGATATCATGGAACGAGGGCTAGGGGAGGGCGGCGAGAAGAAGGCTGCATAATGCAGAGGCCGCTGGTGAAATTAAAAGCAGGGAATGCAGAGGGCGACCCATGCAAGGGATGGGGGGCGGGCCCGCGGAAGCGGGTGCACCGCTGGCGAGGCGATCGCTTTGGGGGAGGGGGGGCGACATGAAGGCCAGGCGAAGAATGGGTGGCGACACGGAGGTTCAGCAACGGTTTCCGATGGCGCAGATGCGCCGAAATCCATGTTCGCAGTTCACGTGCGCCGACGCGCAACAATTAAAATGCACGAGCTCGTTCAAACAGTGTGGTCCCAAGGCTGGCGGTAGTGCACTGCGCATTTGCGAGGTTTCGTCTGCGCTTCCTAGCGGCGAGGCTGGTGCACTGCATACTGCCGAGGCTGCTGCTCCGCTGCGCGATGCTCTGCTGCACGCCTAATGCTGCGAGGAAGCCCCAGGCTGAAAGCTAATGCCCCCGCTGCTCATGCTGCTGCGACGCCGGAACCACTGGCGGAAAAGTGGCAGCCAGCCCTCTCGTTCGGCATGGGCCCTCATGCTGCGCAACTGCACGTTCGGGCCCCCCGTCCCACCCCGCTGCCCGTAGCGCCCAGACGGGCGTTTTTTTCCAGAGCCGCGGCGCCGGTTGCCAGATGGTTATTGTCCAGCTCTGGGTCTCGACGTCCCAGGACGTCCCAGACTTCCCGTCAGGGTTGAAGTAGCGCAGATCGTCGATGTGCATGCCATCGTCGTCGTGGGTCTTGACGGGCTCGGCGGGCTTGCTCTCGGTGGCGGTCTTGCTCTCGGTGGTGCTCTGGTCGGCGACTGCGTTGCTCTTGTCGCGCTCGGGCACGCTCTCGTCGGCGTCGGGGATGCTCTGTTCGGCGGCTGGCTTGATTTCGCCGCGCTCGGGCTTGCTCTCGTTGGCGTCGGGGGTGCTCTGTTCGGCGACTGGCTTGATCTCGTCGCGCTCGGGCTTGCTCTCGTCGGCGTCGGGGACGCCCTGCGTTCTCCATGGAGGCACGGCGATCTTCATCGGCATCGGCGATCTTCATCGGCGTCGGGGTCGCCCTTCGCGATCTTTTCCAGGCGCGCGATATCCCCATTGGCTCTCTATGGCCTCAGAGACTTCGCGAGGGTCGACCTCTCCTGTATTCAGGGTCACGTTGTTGGTCCAAATGTGGTCGCTGTCCTGCCCGTTGGGGTGCCACCCGAGGCCCATGGTTCCAGCAGGGTGGTTGGAAAACCACGGGAGTGCTGTTCTCGGCGGGTAGGTTGGAAGCGTTTGGGATTGTCACCAGCCGTCCAGAGTCATGGGCACCCAATCTGGCACCCAATGTGGGGCGTCGCAGCCCTCGTGCATGGAAACCGCAATATTTGGGCACCCGTGGCGCCCGCGCATGCTTGAAGCCGAAGCGACTGCGGGGGGCGGGGGCCCAGTGGAAACAATTATGAGCCGAGGCCTTGCTGGGGCCTTCTCGGAGCCACGGCGGGCCCTCCCGGGGCTCCCATGCCCCCCCCCCCCTCTCCCCCTGGAGCACCTGTCGGGGCTCGCGCTGGCCCCCCCCCCCGCCCCCCCCCCCATGGAGGCCTTGATCGCGCTGCTGCCGGGCCCGTGGGAGGTGCCAGAATAGCATGGCATCGCGTGGCCTCGCATAGCCTCGCATAGCATCGCATCGCGCCGCGTGGCACCGCATAGCATCGCATCGCGTGGCATGGCGCGGCACGGCACGGCATCGCAAGTCATATCGTAAAAATTGCATAGCGTTGCCCGACACCGCATAGCATCGCTCAGCAACGGGACGCCCAGGAAGCAAACGTGCCGCTCGGGGGGGGAGGAGGAGGAGGAGGAGGAGAACAAAATAATAATAATTATTCTAATTCTAATTCTAATTCTAATTCTATCTGAAGCGTCATCCTCCTCTAGGGAGGTCGC